GCGGTCACAAAGAAAAGGGGTTGCTAGAGTGGGCTATTTCTTCTTCTTCGCTTCTTAGGGCGTGATTGACCCGCATAGGGACGTTCCCCCATAAAGTTGCAGATTGCCGCAGGGAAAAAGAAAGTCGGTGGTGATCACGGTGGCCGGCAGTCCCCTGCTTCGGACTTCGAGCAGGATTCGAATCGCAGGCATCGCAACACGGGCTGGTTTCATGAGACGCTACTGAGCCCCAGCTGTGGGTTTTTGATGTCAGATTCCTGAACTGAATGCTCGGCGATAGACCCTCGCGGTGATCCTCCGTCCGTCTTGGTCTGGGCCGAAGACCCAAGGCCACGGGACGACGGCTGCATCACGTATGGATCGACCGTAACATCGTGGTGGGTGATGATCTGTTTGTAGGGACACTGGACATGCGTGCCACAGGGGCACCTGGGCAGAGGACAGTCTCAACCGAGGACAGGGACAAAGGCGAGGCAAGCAAGGGAGCCAGCTAGCTGATGAGGGTCGGATGGAACCGCAACAAGCAAGGTCAGAAGTATCATGCGCAGGCGTCGGCGCCCGGATGGGTGACGAACTGGAGATCATTCATGCGCTGACTCGGAAAGAGCCCTCGTTCTTTTCTTCTGAGCCTCGAGGGGGGCTGCTTCGTGGGCTGTTAGCTGCAGGTCGAGGTGTGCGGGCTGTGGGCTGTGGGCAGTGAGCAGTGAGTTGTGGGCTCTCGCGCCATGTGGTGCCCGGAATGGCCGTCGAGTTCATGCAACGACCCGCGTGGAGGGGGTGTCGAAGGGGCTCGAGGGACCTGAATGGTGGTCAGGGGGTCGCGATGCGGCTCGTGGTCGGTCCACGGCGTTTCATGCTGCACGCCCGGGACAGGGCACCGCTGCAAACCGCCGGAAGAGAGGTCATTTTGGACGGTGTGTGTTCCATGAACCAAGATGGGCCATCGCGATCTTGCATGCGTTGCCGCGAAGTCGAAATGGAAGGTGGCCCAGCATAATGGCTCATCGAGTGCTGGTGATGTTGAAGGAAGTAGTGCCATGTGCCGGCAATGGTCCGCCATCGCATGGGCAGATCACCAAGAAAGCGCCCTTACTGCTCCATATTGTACAGGGCAGGAGAACCAGGGTGGTGCCTGCTGCACCCTGTGGGTGGGTCACGTGCGGAGACCGATGCCTCTACCACGGCAGCAACGACCACGGCAGCAGAGACCATGTCAGCAGTGGGAACATCCATGTCCACGTGACATGGTAGTAGACATCCGCGCCAGATGGCTTCGCGGCGTCTTGGGCCCTTGAGGGAGATCTAGCGTCTCGGAGATTTTCTGGGAGATTTCGAGCTCCGAGCACACACCATGACCAAGGTGGATGATGCGAGACTACCGATGTCCGAGCATCCTGGTAGACAAGCATTCACTGACGGCGAGCTCAAGGCAAGATGACACACTTCTTGGAACATCAAGCAGCAGCTGGTGGCACTCTACCTACCACATATGGGATACCTCATGGGGGATGCCCTATACCTCACAGGGGATAGATGAATTGCTTGTTCTGCAGGTCCGTCAAGTCCAGCACAGCCAGGTTGACCTTGGTGCGGACCACCTCGCCCTCCTCGCCCACCGTCTCGACAAAGCCCTCGCGCTCGTCGTCGCTGAGGCCCGCAATGTACGCAAGGCGCTCGGCGTTCCGCCGCGCCAAGATGAACCGGATGATCCACAAGATGATCGGCGTGCCCACCCAGCTGACCGAGATCATGGACGCCCAGGCGCCGTAGAACCGCGGCCCATTGCCGGCCACCCAGATCTGTGGCGACACGAGGTTGCCGACGCTGTAGCCGAGCATGAACATGACGTTGCGCGTCAGCTTCTTCGTGTACCCAGCCGCCGTCGACGTCGTCCACCCGAGCGCGATGATGTACGTGACGCCGTACGTCGACGCCGCGAGGATGAGGCACCCCAGGAGCCCAATCTTCTGCTCCCAGTCCACCGTCACCATGGCCACGCCGCCCGCCACCGCCGGCATGCACCACACGGTCCCGTGTAGCGCCAGGTTGCGCGGCCACCGCCGCAGCGCAAACGTCGCCACAACGCAGCACGCCACGCCGAACCCCCCGCCGGCCGCCGCCACGAGCGTTGACCCCAGCGGGCTGACGCCGATCGACGTCGTGATGAGGTTCTTCTGCCCGTAGTTGAGATTGTTCGAGAACATGAGCGTGAACGACTGCAGTGCGAAAAGCCACGACACGGGGTCCCGTAGCGTCTCGACAAATTGCTCTCGCTTGAACCGCTTCTGTTCGATCGAGCTCTGCTGTGCCGCGTGCACCCGCCGGATCACCTGCACCTTCTCTTCGAGCGTCAACCATCGCGCCTCGGCCGGGTTGCCCGGGTAGTCGATCCACACCCACACGGCGAGGAGGAGTGTGAGACCGCCCGTGACGATGTGGAGGAGCTTCCACGGGAGCACCGGCCCCGTCGCCCACAGCAGGCCGTACGAGATGAAGCCCGTGACCATGGGCGCCGCTTGACAGGTGATCCACAGAACGGGCTGTAGGAAGGACTGCTCGTGTCGATTGAAGAACATGCCAATTGTGATCTCCATAGCCGGCACAATGACGGCCTCGGCCGCTCCGAGCGCGAGCCGCATGACAATAAGGCCGGCATAGCGCGTGGCCACACAGTGCAGGAAGATAATGACAGACCAGCAGAAGACGGTGGTTGCAACATACTTGCCAAACGGCAGCCGCTGCATCAGGTAGTGACCCGGCCACTGAAATACCAGGTATCCTAACTCGTCAGTTAGCCAAGGCGTGTGTGCTTATGAAGACAATCTTCTCCCCGTACCGACATAGAACATGGTGTTCAGATTGTTGTACTCAGTTTGACGGATGCCTGTCTCTTCAAAGAGACCCAAAATGGCCGCATAGCCGAGCGTTGACTTGTCCACCTGGACGATGGCTCGTCAGCAAGCTGCCAGTTGTAATATCGGGACGTAGTCAAAGGAGTTGTCGTGACCTCACAAAAAGCATAATGTTGATAGCAGACAGGAGAAGCATGACACGGAGGTACAGCTTCCTGCGAAGCTTCTTCTCCGCCTCGGGCGTCAGGGGTCCGAACTTATCGCCATGTTCTTCGAGGAGCCGCAGAGTGACATCGGCATTTCGTTCTTCGACTGATTTTCCTTTTTGAGGGTGCGTCTCGGCCGTCTCTTTGGGCAGTTTAGTCCCTCTTGCCACCTCGGACTGCACACCCTTGCCGCTAGCCATAGCGACGGAAATATGAAAACGAGCGAAGGTCAATCAGCGACACCGGGATGTACAATCTCAAGCAGCTATTCGCAAGAGAAGCACGAGGCCAGGTCTCGCCGGAGCAACATGATATGTAGCTCCTGGGGGGTTTTATACACCGGCTGGCCGGCCTGCAAAAGGTGATTGACACGACTTCGCAGGTCGTTGTGGAGTCTGAACATGACGATTCGTCTCCATGAGCCACGAATACTGTGCTGCCCGGCCTCTTCGTATGGCACGTCGAACCACCCAACGGTCTCTACGCGGTGCATCTCCGCTATCACGCAATACTCTGCAGCGATAAGCACTACTCTTGGTCCGTGAAGATCGGGGCGTCCCGGTGCCTTCGAAGGATCCATTGGACCGGGAAGGCACTACACGGTTGGAACGAGGACTTTGCCATGGGCACCAAAGTGTTTCTGACAACTGCGGTGCGTTTGGTGGCATGTGAATCAATAGCTCGCAAGAGGCACTCGCTTCTTGGGAGTACGCAGCCTACGCGAGAGGGAGTGTATCTGGCTTCAGCGGTCATGGCAGATGACGACAGCGATTGTGTAAGTGGTAAAACGTGGGCTGCGATGTGACGCCGAGGGTATGCCGTATGATTCGTTTTCACATGGCCATAATGTCACGACAGAGGCGCACGCGAAGCGCGAAGGAGCTGCCTGCACAGGATGTACTGTAGAGGAGGCCAAGGCATGGGCCAGGAGTGGAAACTGCTGGTCGTCGGGTAGCACCCGACAGCGGCGCGAGTCAGGGGTCGAAGCAGAGCTTCGCTAACCTGACGCCGGATGTCGCCCAACACCTTGGGTGATCAGTGAATCTTGCGAGCCAACAGGGCCGCCTGGCACTGGAGGTAGACAGAGATGCTGCCGAGTCTTGTAAGCACCAGAGCGCTGCACTGCTGTTCGTGTCGCATGGGTTGGCTCCTCTGTTGTTCTTCGTTCTGTCGGCCAGCTCCGCTGCAGATCGACATCCGTGGGAACCAGAGCAAGAAGAAGCATTCCCGCTGGCCCTTGGAACGAGTACCTGACAAGAATGATGGCGACCGTGAGTCAGCCCTGTGACGTCAATCAGCCAGACAGGCACCTTGCTGAGGCGGCAAGGTGCCTGTCTGAGGCGGCAAAGCGAAGCAGGGAGACGGGGATCGGCTCGACCTGTTTCGAGTCGATGGGTGGATTGGTGATCAACAGCGAGGGCCCAGTCAGCGCCAGACGATGAGGAGGTCAGTACCTAGATTTAGGGAGATGCCCTAGCTGCCTGCTTTACTACCTAGGTAGGTACCTTACCTTGGGAAAGGTAGGTCCCAGTAGGTAGCTGCTGCCTCGGCCGCGGGGGACAGGGGCCATCAGTCACTGGACACGCCCTGCTGATCAAGCTGTGGCTGGTGCGAGAGACACGCCAGCTGCCTGCTGCTCGAGCGGTTCGTGCCCTATTCCACCCTGATATCTAAAAGGAAGTACATAAAAGAAAACGGCAAGGGGCCCCACGAAGGACACGTCGTGCAAGCCAGACGCTGAAGATGGTGTGAGAATGCATCCACCCGGAAGCACAGCTTCCAGGCCGACCGCTGAGCAAAAGGGCAGCGAGAGGGCCTCGCACGTTGGTGGTGCGATTCAGCACAGCCACAGAAAGCAAATGGCACGGTCGCTCCCGCATGGTCATCCCTATGCCGTGAGGCTTATTGGTCATCAGCCCTGGAAGCGGGGTGCGACCCCACCATGCTCGAGGCTGCCTTCTGGACCGTACGGTTTCCATCCCTTTTGACGCCATCCAGGTGGGTGCGCAACTCCCCTCCCCCCAAACAGCCGGTGGCCCTGTTCTGGCATGCTTTAAAGGACACCCAGGCTGCTGTCCTTGTTTCGATTTCTTGTTTCCGTTTCTCGATCTCGGTCTTCCATTCTCGATCTTCCATTCACTCGATACCCTCCCGTCTAGCATAAATACCGTTGCTCCCAGAGAACAAAACCCGTCGTCGAACCCCACCCACCACGCTCTACCTGCCACTTACACGCCAGAGCGCCCACCTACCCACACGACCAACATCCAACTTCCACAACAGCACAATAGCTACACAACAACGCCACGCCCGCTTTCCAGACATCACAACAGCCAGCATGTCGCCCTCCTACACCATGTCCTCCCACCTCTGCAAGCAGATTGCCTCCTCCTGGCGCCAAACCCGCCACGGCTCCCCCGACCCGACCTCCCCCACCCTCCAACCCGCCGCTGCCTACTTCCCCTCGCCCTCGCGCGAGAAGCGCAGCATGGACAGCGACAGGAGCGACTCTCTCATCATGTCTCGCTCCTCGAGCGTCACCTCCTGGCGCAGCGCCGGCAAATGAGCAGTCTACGTTTGATCCTAAGGCCTTTTTCCCCGTCTTGCAAAACACCAAGGCGGGGCCACAGCACCTCCGACGGGAGGGCAGACGGGGCATTTCGTTTTTGAATCTTTGGCGTCTGACGGCTGTATTTTTCATGTTTCCAAATCGTATGCAACACAACGGCGTTGGCGTATCATGGCAGGGGTGTCACAAGCACAGGGATCGATGGAATCGAGGGACTCAGGGAACGCAGGCGCTCAGGATATGTATGCATTTTTTATATTCTTGTTCCCCATTACCTCTCTCATCCCTCAAATACGATACGACCAGAATGGGCTCCACGAAAAGGGGGCGAAAGACATTTTGGTTCTCCCCACACCATCAACACACATGGCGCCTGACCACCCGACAACCCTGCGGCGGAGCGGCGGTTGAAGCTTGTCGCGCCGAGAGGACACAGTACCAAGGCGGGCAGGCCGCGAGGACAGCTCGGCAGGTGCTGTGCTCTCTCTCCCCCTTTGACCTAGGCTACACGTTGCTCCGAACCAAACTCGGGGGCACAGCATCGGGCCATATCATCACGAATTCAATTAATTACTCCTACTGCAGTTGCTCCATTTCGCTGCCCTCCGTCATGTCATCTCCACAGCCGTGAGCCATATCTCCGTACAGTGTGCCGGATAGTCGGGCGTTTCGATGGCGTGCGATGGCGCAACTCCGTCTCAACGCAGCCCCGTGTGGGGCCGCACATCATCTCCCCGCCGCATCACACCATGAGGGCCTTGCAGGATGGCCACATGCTTACTCAATCGTCTGTCCAACAAACGCGGTGATGCATCGTCAGTGTATTTTGTTGACTCGTTTTTTCGCGCTCGAAATCCAGTCGGCCGTTCGGCCTCCTTCCCTCATGTGTTATTCGCTTCGCTCCCTGTGGACTAGTTGAGAGCCACGCTCATTGCGTAGACAAAAAAACCAAGCAAGACAAATCCTTAGCTGGCCACTCTTGCCCCCAACGCCCCAGTCGAAACACGTTTGTCCTCTCTCGCTCTCTCTCTCTCTCTCTCTCTCTTTTCTTTATGTATCCCCGCCCCGTCTATGAACCGTTCCAAATCACCGTCACTGCCAACCGCGATACCGGGACCGTGAGATGTGGAGGAAGCGGGGGCACCAGCGCCGTGCCGTCCGTCGCCGGCCACACACACCGCTCTACATCGTGGACGCCGCAATCGTCTGCGCGTCCGGCCGTGCCGCCGGTGTCTCGTCTCCGCTCGATGATTCCTCGCCCACGCTGCCTTGGATGCGCCGCTTAGCCTCCTTCTTCTCGGCATCCGTGATGTCCTCATCATTCTTGCGCATATCAGGAGTCCACTGCGCCTCGTCGGGCGAGTGACCGATGGACATGCCCGCTCGAACCTGAAATATCGTGTTAGTTGGCGGTCCACAACTCGTTCGCTTCGGCTGGGAAGCACTTACCAAGGTCTCGAGCGCGCCAGCCGAGTTGTCCGTCAGATCATCGTCGAACCGCATCTTGCCCTCCTCAAACAGGAGTACAATGGTGCTGCCACCAAACTTGAAGTAACCGAGCTCTTCTGCGCGCTTGACCTCGTCGCCTTCATTGCGCGTGATCACCGTGCTGCCCACCATCATAGCTCCGACACAGATGACCATTACGCGGCCGTGCTTGGGACTGTCGATGGGGCAGACAACTCGCACATTCTCACCATACACGTCAAGGGCCGAACGAATGGCCATAGGGTTGACCGTGTAGTATTCGCCCGCAATCAGCTTTGGCTTGTCCAATCGTCCATCTACAGGGATGTGGAAGCGGTGGTAGTCCTGCGGCGCAAGACGGAAGATGCCCAGCGCGCCGTTTTCGTACCGCTTCGCATCCTCTGGATACGCGTCGCCAAGGAGTCTTTTGACGGAAAATTCGCGACCCTTGATCCAAACGGTAGTGGCGTGATCCACGCTGTTGAACACGACGCTGCGGCAGTCGGCTGGCGAGACAACGATACCAGGATGGTCCGGAGCAGAACATGGGCGGGCGCCGGGCTTGAGCGCTCGGTAGAAAAACTCGTTGAAATTCTTGAAGTCTTCAAGGGGCCGGAGGACCTCCGACATGTCCAGTCGATGGAACTGGATAAACTTGGGAATCTCCGCCTTGGATGCGGGGTCGTCGAATTTCTTGCCTTGCTTGACGCTCATGCTCTTCAGCATCTTCCGAACTGTTTACACATCAGCACATGATCGACGGTAGCTTCGAGGGGCGGGGCACGTACTTCTCTTGGTCTCCATGTTTCCAGACTTCAAACCCTTGTACAGGAGACGAATGCCCAGCCTCACGTACACGCTCATTTTCTCTTCATTAATCTGACCCGTGATCCGATCCTGCACAAGAATGTTGGCCGAATTGGCACCCAGCTTGTAGCCTCCGTACGAGATCTTGGTGAGGACCTTGGAGTACCACTTGCGTTGCGCCTGGCTTGAGGTAACGAACCCTCCCATCACCAAATTGTTGACTTGGCGCCAGTCCTGGCTGGCGCAAGTGGCAATGTGCGTGATGATATCAGTATCCTTGCGCTTGTGAAGTCGCGGCTGATGGCAGATGGGACACTCTCTGATCTCAACCACGTGTTCCTCGCCACTGCGGTCTTCAGCGAGGTCGTCCTGTGTAAAGATATCTCCTTCCTCGCCCGACTTGTTGAGTTCAGGGACGATGATGGTCGATTCGGAGGATAGGCCCGCGCTGCCCGGGTTCTGCGTCGGAACTTGCGGGTTGTTCTCCTTTCCCTCTGTTGTCGGTAGGTGAAGAAGGTTCTTACCCGCCTTGTCTGCATCGGCGAGGACCCCCTTGACCTTGTCTGCAAGGGAAATTTGTGGGCGGCTCTTAGCCTCCAGTTGGTCTTCCAAGCAGATGACAGCCTCATCCATGGTTAAATCATACACGTCCTCGCCGGATTCATCGTTGGCTTTGTGGGGGAACCGCTGGAAGAAGCTGTCAATTGTCGACTCGCGCAGAGTCGAGCCGAGAGTGTCCAGCATGGTCGTGAGCTCGACCTTGCTGATACGGCCGCTCTCATCCGTGTCGTACTGTCGCAACAGGGAGCGCCAGAACTGTTGTCGCAGAGCCGGGTACGTCACGAATTTAGCGCGGACGAACAGCGTCGGGCTGTGCTTGGCCTCCCATTTGTCAGCCTCTTTCATCTTGAGGGGCAACTGAAAATCCAAAAAGTGGATGTCGTAGCTTTCGATATCGGCCGTGTCTGCGCCGGCGCCGGCGATGGCCTGCTCAGGGCTCAAGAACTCGGGGTTCAGAGATTGGGCCGGAGCAGGCGGTGGTGAAGGGGTCCCCAGCTGAGAGATGCCCGAAGCGGCACTAGCTTGCTTGGAGAGAGAGGGCCGGACCATTCTACTAAGGCTCTGAGAAGAAGAGGTTCGCGACACGCCGAGCTTGCGGAACCGAGAGCGATGTTGAGCAACCGGCGTGTGTTCTGTGGGTTCCCGCAACTGGTAGAGGCCTGTACTAGGATCGGCCTTGGGGGCGTTGTCGATCAGTTCTTTGATGGAGAGGTTGCAATCGGCTACAAAGTCGTTGGAGGAGTACTTGTCGTGGTCAATGACGGTGAAGTTGAATGAATACGCCTGTTCGTGTCCTTGAACCTGAAACACCATCTTCTCGTTGAAGACCGGGTTCAGGTTGTGGCGCACTCGTTTCGTCCGGTACGTCTTCTTGCCCAGGGAAGCCACAACGAACGGGTCCATGTCAAAGGTCGTTCGAGTGGCGCTTGGCTGCGGGGGAAGATCGGTAATGTTTAGGATCTCGAGGTAGATGACTCCGACCACATCGCTGCCGCTGTTGTTGAACTCGAACTGATTGCCACCCTTTCTCCTCCGTCTTCGGAGACCCTTGATACGTAGACGACGTTTCCTCTTCTCAATGACCTCTGGCTTGGTGGAGTCTTCTTCATCGTCGGACAGGCTAGAGTCGCCATCATCGTCATCGTCGTCTTCCTCGTCATCGGGCGTTAGGTCAGTCGGGTCAATCGGCGCTGGCCGAGCGCCCTCTGGCTCGCCTAGGGGGCCACGCGACGCTGTGAGAGAGGGCGTCATGAGTGGTGTCTGGTTGCGGGAGCCCACAGGAACTTGCTGGACAATGGCCGAGAACTTTTCGAAAATCTGTTCACGGCTAGCAGCGGTGTTCGTGCGGTCGAAGAGGGTGAATTGTAGGAAGACCTCGCCGGAGACGACGCTCGTCTTCTTGCCAGGGCGCTTGCTTCGGAGTGAATACCACTTGGGCTCCTGCTCTGTCTTGGTGGCGGTGAAGAGCTCCTCCAGAGGAACGTCAAACTCGCCCATGTAGTCTTTGCCGAACCTATCCTTGTCCCAGCAGATGACGTCGAGAATGAGAGAGTCGGGGGACGTGACGGGCATTTCTTCAATGACGTTCCATTCTGGGTTGAGAGTCTTTGGGATTTCGTGGGTTACCACTTTGGCTTCGCCAAGAGTGAGGACGAGGTACTGAGAAGAGGGCCATGTCAGTAGATGTTTGTCTGGGGTATGAAGTCAAATTCGGCCTCTGGACGTACGGGGTCTGATGTTCCATTGCGGTCTTTCGCAGCTAGATTGCGTGCCTAGAGAGCGAGAGCGAATGTTAGCAATTGAGGGCTACAGATTTTGTTGCTGCGAGGCCGGCGCTGGTTTGGAGCATTCAAGTGACGTACACGCAGAATGACGACCTTCAAGGTCAGGCCGGTGTCTTTATCTTTGGCGGAAAGATCGCTGCCCATCCTGGAGGGAGTGCGTGACTGGTACTTGCCAGTGCCGTTGTGGTTGTTGTTGTTGATGCTGGAAGTATTGGCCGTGTTGGAGACGGAGTTGCTGTTGCTGTTGGATCGCCTAGGACTGTTGCTGCGGCTGTTGTTGAGGGAGGAAGCGGACTTTAGACGTGTCGGGATAATGCGAACCATGTCGGGCGACGGGGGGAGGGGGAACCCCTACAATAAGGGCTCCCAGAGTCGACAGCAAACCAATGCCGTGAGGTAAACGGGTGGCTAAGCCCAGCACACCCAGCCTGCGGTGCTGCAGGCTACGAGGTGGATTGTGGGTGTGGGCTGTGAACGGGTGCGTGGGACGGGCGACTCGTAGGTTGCAGGCGAGGTAAACCGCGTATGGACCGAGACGGGGTTTGGGTGCCAGACGACTTGTCAATGCCAATGCAAAAGCATACGCAACAGACGTGTCACGCCGGACGGGCCGAGGCGGGGGGTGACGTAGGTGATCGGGGCCAGGCTTCGGGGGCAGTACCGCTACCGTATTCAGGGGGCGTGGGTTCTGTAAATTGTAGCGGTACAAGGCGCTGGGGGGGCGGATGTGCTGCGCCAAGACAGTGGAGGCTCGAGGATGGCGATGCGCGTACTCTGTAGGGAATGGTGCGGCTCAGCAGGTGAAATGGAGGGTTGGCATTGACGTTGCTCTTTCGGAACGTGTAAGGGATCGGCCAAGCTATGAGGTTCTGAGCTCGTTTGTAGGCAGATCGTCGGTAGAATCGAGGAGGGAGGAATTCGTGTCAAGACGGTGGTCCAGGCAAGGTGACGACGGAGGGGAGGAGCTCGAGGGACAGGACAGCTGTATTTCAGGGGAGAAAGCAGTGGTCAAGCTTCAGCCCGCAGGGACACAGGGGTGGTGTGCCTCGCATGTGGGACGAAAGGTGGACGCAAGAAGCTGTGGGATGGAGCACAGGAGATTATCGAGGACAAGAAGTGATCGTGAAAGAGGGAAAGGCGGAAAGAGAGGGAAGAGATGATGGTCAAGATGCTAGGCAAGACAGGGTAAGGTAGGCGAGGTAAGTAGGCAGACAAGACGAGGGAGACAAGGGCAAGAGACAGAGGGAGGTCAATGAGGTCAGGCCAGTGCCTAGCTATGCCTGCCAGTGAGGCAGGCGTAAATCATTGTTGGGAAAGAGAAGCGAAGGCATGAGCTTCTCAAGCTCGTGGGTCCTCAGGATCGGGAACGGAGCCTTCTGGTAGCGGTGGAGGAGATTGAGGGGGGGCTCCGAGGCTTGATGGGTGAGATGGGGAACGGCAGCGGGACCTGGACCTGGACGTCTTAGTGTCCTTAGTGCTGCTGAGAATAGTGCACCGGCTCGATTTACACTGACACCGGCCAGAGTACCCGATTTCCCTGTCTCTGAATGACCACATGGAGAGGTGTCTGATACACCAGAAAGCAGTGTAAACTGGGGGAAGTGACGATGGTGATCCAAACTCTGTACCAGCGGGACCTGCCAATCCGAGCGATGGATAGGGATTCGAGGGGAAGGTACCTCCTGTTGGCATCTCACTGTGGAGTAGGAATCCAAGGGAAGAGGGAGGGGGTGGGAGGGTGAGGGGCAACTGACGATGAGTCGTCTGCACTTTACTTTCCCTCAGCACCGTACCTCCCCTGGCTGGGGTGCCTGCCTGGCTGCAATCCGCATAGGTAGGTATCTAGGTAGGTGCCTATGTACCTCAGGTAGGTCACCGAGGAACCTAGGCAGGTGGCTAGGGCGCCGTCTTGAGGAAGAAATGTGGTATCTTCATCACTACTATTTAGCTCAAACACTGTAGCTCTTCGACACGATCTCACCCCCCCTTCAGCTGACGGACACAACGGAGCACGGCACATGGCACTACCAGCAACCACAAGAGCGACGCGCAATGCACAGGGACAGAGATGAGTGCCCAACCAATGGCATAGGTGAGAGGTATTTTTTTTCCTTCGGGATGAGATGCGACAGTCAAATATCGACCTGCAGAAAAGGAACGAGAGGCCATTTTTGGCATTTCTTTCATCAATTGGCAGGAAAAAAAGGATTCCTCGGGACAACCTATCCCCCCACCCCACTGGAAAGCCATGCTCGAATCAGCTCTGCAGTTTGTGGCTCGTCATTTGCAGTGGGCGTGCAGGCCACGTCTTGCCTGCAGTGACCGAGGCGTTTGATCGACGAGGCGTCCGCTGCTGACACCCACCACTAAGTATCGGAGTGATTTGGCTGAGCCTGGCGATGGAGTGAAAACTGACAACGCGCGACAGACCGGCGGAGGCTGAGACCAGCGAGCGCCCATGGCTGACACCAGTGTTGAGCTGAGGCGAACCTGGACCACATAGGCTCGAGCTTGTCTACCGAACTTGCTACCGACCTTTAGGCACCAACAGATGCCAGTCAGTCAGTTGGTGGCACAGCAGGGACAAGGACCCAGCGTCATGCTATCAAGTCGCACAGGCCTACGAAGAAGGTGCACAAACAGCATCGAAGAGTTGCACCAAGGTACTGTGTCTTGTTCCGCTGCTCCATGCTGACATCCACAGCATCGGCGCATGTATCGTATCTGGCCGAGGGTGGGATTTTATGGCGCACTTAACACGGCATCAGAAGAGGCGAGTGGATGGAGGGAGGGGCAAGCTTCTAACCCCAGGTCCAAGGGGGTGGAGGGATTGAGGAGAGAAAGCTTACAGGGGGGGGCGGGGTCGGATTGGACCGAACTCTTCCTAATGCCTGCTCGACAGCAACTTGCATACACTACCTCGTCTGTGTTGTAAGACCCAGCGATAGTCTACTCTCTTCTCCCATCATGGCACAGGTCGCTGACCGTTGAAATCAGTGGCAGGGCAGATACTTGCTGTCTAAGACGTGTCGTTCTCTGGTGATTTGAACCAAGGGGGATCAGGGTTCATGACATACCTTCTCGAACTGATTCTTGAGGGCGGCACACGAGCAGGCAGACGGACACCTCAGCTGGCCAGCTAGAGCTCCTCGGGCTTTCCAATGGCGACGGAACCCCATGCTTGCGAGCCTGTATCCAATGAGGCAAGTTATTCGATGTCGACTTTGGTCCCGATTCTGCCAGCCGGACGGATATCCCTCACCTCCGTCGCTTCCGTAGCGGGGTTACCCCCGTGCCTCAAGCGGTTCCCCTCTCATCCTTTCGACAGACAGAAGCCGTCTTGCCACCATCGTTCGCGTAGATGCCTTTTCAGGGGGGCCATTCTGTTCGTCTTCCCCAACACAACGGTTCCAGCGGGACCCTCATCGCCAAGCTACCTCATTCCTTGGCATATCCTTGGCAAGGTTGCGCGGCTCTTGACAAGCGAAACGTCACCACCAGACCAAAGTACGAAGTTTCCTTGGCCGGCTGCCTCTTTTCGATGAATCCCAGCATCGCGGGATTATGAAAGAGTCCGTTGGGTCCTGGAACATATGTCTTCACATGTCAAGTGGCCGACTGGCCCTTGTCTAATTGTCCACGGGAATGAACGAAAAGCACAATAAAATTGAAACCACCCATGTCCAGCCAGTCTTGGAGGCGAATACGGCGGCAGAGCTTCCAATTTGGCCTGCTCGCTGTCTCACTGACCGAGCCACCGAAATGCGTATTTTGCCATCCGAGATCACCATCCACGCTCTCCAATAGAAGCCTACCTGAGTTGCCTGTCCCAATATTAGCGGCCCCGCGTCCTCGGGTTCACTGCCATGCATCCAAGGCGGGCTTGCCCAACCCTTGTCAATCCAGCCAATCCAGGTCTCAGCTTGCGCCCTGAACCAAATGTGCGCGCGCGACAGCTGCGGTAAAGGCTTAAATATGCCATGTTTGCAGTGAACACGAGCACGCAGAAGCTCTTGGTGGAGATGACGACTATCCGGGTACTGTCGGCTCTCTCTGTCATGACCGTTCCGTGAGACATGCACAAATACGTCCGTCGCATGTTATACATATGTCAGGACAAAAGTGTATTTCGCAGTGAACTGCAAAATGAAACGAGATGAAACACTTTTTGATGGTAGTGTCTATGATGCTCCGTAGTCTAAGCATTGCGCATCACCATTCCGGTGAGAGGTCTCCCCCCAGCGCTGTTCGCACCCATGCGTTCTACGTATACCTGAACGCCAAGTCAAAAATATACTCATATGCCAATGCCTTGCGCCGCTGGTCCCTAAAATATAAGATGGAAAAGAAAGAAGAAAAAAAGGAAGAGAAAGAAGATGGAACAGATCAGTTGACCGCGGCAGGCACCGGCACTACTGTCTCCTCGATAAGAGCCGTCTTCATCACATCGGCCAGGTCCTTCTCAATGCCCGGCGACAGGACGGCGAGGCGGGGCACGGCATTCCGGCTCGACACGCGGCGCCACATGTTGGCCCGTGGGTTGAAGCGCGCGGGCATACCCTTGCCGGCCGTCTTCTTCTCGTCCTCGTCGCGGATCTTCTCAATCTCGATCTGAATGTCGGCAAACGTGTCAAAGGCCGTGTAGGCAATGTCGTTCTCCTGGCAGTACTCCTCGAGCCGCAGGCCGCGGCGGGCGAAGAGCACATCGGCTTGGCGCGCGGCGGGCAGGTCCGAGACGCCGTCGCCGATGAAGACGATGAGGGGCACAGACCCGTCGTCGCCGACGAGGGCCTCCTCGGCCTGGGCGCGCGCCTCGGCCATGGACAGGGCCTTGTCGTGGCCCATTTCGTTGTCGTGGCGCCAGATGGGCTTCCACGCCGAACCATCATCCGTGATCTCCGCCTCGTTGGCCACAATGTCGATGTGCGCTGATGCCTCCTCGCCGAGGAAGGTGTCGAGCACGCGGCGCAGGATGGGCTTGAGGCCCGCCGAGATAACGTTGAAGGGGATGCCGTGCTGGCGGCAGTAGGCATGGAAGGCGCGGAAGGCAGGATCGATCTCGAGCGTCGACTTCATCACCTCGAAGCCGTCGTCGAAGGGCACGTTGAGGGATCCCCACATCTCCTCCGACACGTCGCGGAATGATCGCTCGCCCGTCTTGATTTGCTCGTCAAGGATCTCGCGACGCTCGGCGCCACAGCCGTGGTTGTCGAAGAGGATGTGGCCCGTGTCTTGCATGAAGATGGTACCGTCAAAATCTGGGGTAAGGCAGCCAAGGTTAGTATCGCCAAGTCTGTAGTCCACCCTGTAGTCGATCTCACGTA